ATAATGACTACAATGGCAGGATTGATTTTATTTATTAAAGTAGAGGTTACAGTCTCTCCTCTCCTCCTCTCCTCCTCTTTTCTCCTCTCCTCTCCTCTGCCAGATGGCTGCTCCTTAATCAAACTCTCGTACCTTAGAGAGGTAAACACATTATGCTACCCTGATTACACTAGCTTGGTGAAGCGTACAATGGAATGTGCGTGTAGGCTTTGCATGTGCATGATGGCTAGTGCATATGTACTTGTGTGTATGGACAAACTAGACAGGGGTGGGGGGGCTCCTATTAAGAGGCGGTGCTGTGGGGTATACACTTGGGAACCTTCAGTCTTACAAAAAGCTCCCGTCCAGAAGGGATACACACACGGGAACAGAAATTGTTACTCAGCATAAAGATCTTCAGTTATTCTCTCATTCTCGGACAGTAAACAATCCCCCGCCCACTGTAGCTATGGAAACACTAGCTGCCGCAGGCCCTCATATGGCTCCACTAGTCTGTTCTACACTGTGGTATACTATAGTTATCCCTGCCAAGTATTGAGGCAGGCATACTGCTGTCATACATTCCAGCAAATGCCATAAAGGGTCCTGTCATACAATCCAGCAGATCAATAAGCCCCTGGGCTTGATGTCACACAGTAATATATGTCTAGCTGTGAAAACACTGACATCGAGGCGAGCCATGTAACTTGCTTTGGCAAGGGGAACAAAGCAGAGTGGGGCTGCAGTGCTAATAGTCTGGCAACCCGATAGTGTTAGAGGCAAACACTACGGTTTTCACAGGACTCAGCTGACAGAGTGCCGAATGACTGCGGTGTGGCTCTGCACGTCTTGGTCTCTGGAAATTCAGAGGGGGGAAGAAAGCAGTGTTACATGCTGCTAAGTTATAAAAACAGTCTTGCACTGAGAAAACCAAGCTGTTTTAGTGTTATTGACCTTTTAGGAGGGTGCAGAAAATTGTAAGCGGGTCATATTTGGAGTAGAAATGTAAAGGAGGTGAATATAGAATATGGACCCTGACAGCTTCCATCTCTGTCTATAAAAACCAGGAGCAATTTCCTACATGGCTGAAAAGAAAATCCAGATGAAAGAAATGAGAATGATTTTATTTGTCCTTTTGTGATTCATTGTCTTTCTAGTTACTGCAGCATGCAAAGTGGCATCTTTCTGAAATCGGTATTTCCTTGTAGTAGTTAAGCACTCCTGGGATATGCTTATAGGTCGCGTCAGTCAGAAAAAATGCTGTATATTTAATTAGCTACAGAGAGGATAATTCAGACAAAAATCACAATACGTTATCTGTTTATCTAATTTCTTATGGTAATTAATGTAGTTTGTATCTCCTTTAATAAAGTTCTTTGTAGATTCAGCTGTATTTTCCGAGTGGTGCAGCCTATATTTCAAGGATGCAAGGGTGAATAGTTGGGTGGAGGTTGCCCGAGCAGTTATTCTTCGGATTTAAGAGATGATGTCTAGATTTAAGTAATTACAGCAAACAGTAACCAGACATTGTTCAGTACTATCACAGCCGAGTCACAGCCAATTCAAACATTTTCTCTAACAAAAAGTTCAGATGTCATCATTTTGTTGAAAAGGAGGACATTATTGTGACATAGCTGCCTTTTCCCCCCTTCCTCTTCTCCAATGATTCCAAATATGGGCAGTGACATTAATAAGTAGAAAATTGGTCTGTTCAGGTGTCTGTGCCAGGATACAGATGAAGACAGTCATTTTGGTTATCAAATTAAGCTTAGATCTAGAGTAGTGTCATTTGACTAGAGTACCACAATGATGTTTATTCCACTGTGGAACACGTAATTAGCAGTGATGATACTGGCCTTTGATGAGGCCGGATGAGATGTAGTGAAATCCTTCATGCATTATAATTTGTGTGGTGTGCAACAGCGTAGGCGTCAAGAGAATTAACACTATGAATATGGATGTTGGGTGAGCATCATGAGAGTAAATGTGCTTACTCTATTGATTAAATCTCCCATCAGTCACCTAGCAGCGTGGTCCCCATCCCCTCTCTCTCCCCCCGTCTATCCTTTCCTCTCCTACATCTCTCTACTCATCTCTGTCAAGGCGGGCTCAGTGGAGTGGTTAAATTGTCCATAGCGCGTAAACGGTCGTTTATAAAAGTCGACAGACGTGGCGGTCGTTTGCTGAAATTAATTACCCCTCGAAGCCACAGCAAGCATGGGCTCTAGTCAGTCAGTCACGGTCCACCACCTCACATGCCCTGTACCTGCACAGAAAGACGGAAAGAGAGGGCTGGAGAGAGCCAGGTAGACTGGCATCATTTTTTGCAAGAGTGCAGTGACTGAAGGACGGGGATGATTAAAACTGGGAATGAATTATGAGTGATATATTATTCCATAAAGTGGAAGAAGTGGAGGTACAAAATCGACCCCCTATATTATGTTGTGATACCACAACAAAACACAGAAGACATCTTGGTATTAATCCAACTTGTGCACTTTTTAATTGTGAAGTACCACCCCGTGTGCATATATTACTGGAGCAAAAGATCCATGGGGAGTTTTGCGCTGACACAGCCCAGGAAGATGATGTGATACAGACCACAGTGACGTGAAACTAATCAGAATGTGTTCATCTTCAGCAGGAGTAACTTAATGAACTTCTGCAGTATCTGATGCAACACTTCTCTAACATTAATAAAAGCTTCATCTCCTGTCTGATTTGCATAATTGTTAAAATGAATCCACTGACGCGCTGCTCTTTTTTTCATTTTTAATAAAATGATGATCTGTGTTAAAGTGAGCCATCCCTTACTGTTGAGATGGGAGGGGAGAGGGAGGGAGAAGAAAAGAGCATGGGAGGAGTGGGATTTGCAAAGGGGCCTAAGGTGATTTGTCACAGTTTTGATTCAGTCATGTAATGAAGCATACACTGTTGTACAAGGGGTTATTGGTTTGAAGTGATATTTCATATGGCCTTATGGCAGTGGAGATGGTTTGGAATTTTTCCCATATACTGTAACACAATCTCTCCACTAGCTTGTCTGCCTGTCTCATTGCCTGAAACATTAACGTGTGTCCTCTGTTCTTAATCTGCTTCTTGCTGTTGTCCATTTAAAAATGCTGTGCCTCATATTTGAGAATATTTTTGCTAGTGTCACTTGCTATCATAGATGCTTAAGTAAAAATACTTAAAGTTGGTAAATGGACTGGTTCTTGTATAGCGCTTTTCTACTCTCACTGAGCACTCAATACGCTTTACACAACTTGTGCATTCACCCAATCATGTGCATTTACACAAGCACTTATCTAAGGTTTTTAGTGCTTCTATCTAACATTCACTCACATTCATGCTCTGATGGATGCATCGGAGGGCAACATGGGGTTAGTATCTTGCCCAAGGATATTTGGCATGCAGACTAGAGCAGACTTGGGATTGAACCACCAATCTTGCGGTGAGTAGGTGTCCCGATCTACCAACTGAGCTAGAGCCATCCCATTATTTGTGTCATAGAACTGAAGATGATTTCCTGATTTATTTAGAGGTGCTGTATGTGATTAGTTTCAGGCTGAACATTACATTAGGATTAGACTACCTACAGCACAGTACAGCTACTGCACTAACAGAGTCATGCATTCTGTCTGTCAGTACTTCTCCAAAGCGTCAGAATGCTTTAGATAAGATCTTACATTACTTAAAATTCCATGTATTTGGATTAACCAAATCTAACAACTAGTATCTGTTATAAGAAAGACTAGAATCTGAGCTAGTCTGAGCCGACACTGCCCCAGTAAGCCTACAGGCATTTTTGCTGGTTAAAGACAAGTGTTGGCTAGTATCATCCTGTAACATTTCTCAGTATAAACCCAGTCAAAGCCAAAATGACTGTCAATACATTCAATATTGGTGTAGGAAATAATTATTAAAAATTGCATTTATTTTCTTTTTGCTGCAAGCTTTCTCCACATTATCTGACATTACACCAGACACAAAATAACTTTCCTTGGCAACAAAACAACAATATAATAGCTACATAATGGGGACCCTTGAAATTAGTTTAAAAAAAATTAAATTAATGGGGCAGCATACAAGTGTTCTAGCCTCTACACATGCTGAAGAAGGATGACAATAAACACAGTAAAAACTACAATGGTGACTACTGCAGCTGCCAAGATGGTGCCAACCTGACTTGTTGATGAAGGCAGTAAGAGTTGGGTATGGAAATACTTTGGTCATCCACCTCAAAATGCAAAGGGAATAACTGATCCCTAAAAGGAAATATACAATAAACATTAGGTTTAGTAAAGCACCTAAAAACCCAACTACCTGATTTATTCACAGATTTCAAGGTGAATGAGTTTCAGTCAATATCCAGCAACATCCAAATGATCATTCTCCTTATGTTACTGCGAAGTATGCATTTCCATTTAGGTTGGGAAAGCTGGCATTGCAGTTGTAAAGTCAGCTACATCACATAGGCTATAATATTTGTAATGGTTCATGTCATATAAATGTTTAAGATAATTTGATGTAAATAACTTGTCCTGTGAGCAGAATCTTAGCATTTAAATGGTGTGCTATAACCATGCCATTCATTTTAAAAAAAAAAAAAAAAAAAAAAAAAAAATTAAAATAACTATTGATTTTTTTTTTTTTTTTTTTTTTAAATCGAGGATTTTATGTTTAGGTACATAGAATAATAATTATGTATCAAATTGGGTATGAAAAATTGTGTAATTATACTGGTATTGGTATTGACTGCTAAACTGTCATTCCAACTTACAGTAATACTTACAATATACTCTGGTAGCCCATTGACTGAGTTTAGCACTTAATCTTACTTCTTATCAATACTTTGAGGCAGCGTGTGGCTTTACTTACCTCTGCTATTAAAGAAGTCTTTGAGAATGTGGGAAGGTGTAAAGATTCACTAAATTTCAAGACATTTTATTTGTATATTCACATTATTTACAATTGTATTTAAAAAAAAAATAAACAAATTAATTGGTACATAAAGGAGACCCAGTTGAAATAGATGAGTGGCAAATTAAATCAATGCAATAACTCAGCAGGGAAGTTTTGAATTGCAGGTGAGATGTGTAACTTTTGGTCTTTCCTAGCTGCTACATTAGAGGCTTGAATCGGTCTTTGTGTCCTACATCATCACACAGCAGGAGCAATCTGAGGTATCAGGGGGGAGGAAGAGCAGGTTATTAAACCACCAGCCTTACCTGTGTTACAGATGAGATAAGATAAGAGAACTTTATTAATCCCTCGGGTGGGTTCCTCTGGGAAATTCGTTTTCCAAAAGCACAGCACCGACAGAAGTTACAGTTACAGTTGCCAATTCAAAATATTCACTTTCTTTAAAATCTTCAGCAGTACTGACAATGTGCAAAAAACAGTTGAGAGAATGTGGCGAAGATGTAAACACACAATGCCAATGATATCATTTCTTTAGGTCTAATTTCTTCCCTTTTGAGTTCCTGGATTGAGGAAACCGTTTATTCTGCATTCTGTGTAGTCCCCATGTTTGTATCTCAGGAGACTCACAATGAGACAAATTTCCTCATGCTGTGTGTGGCAATTGGATGTAATAGTCCATTTACCACTGTAAATCTGCTGTGTGCGAATACCACTGTGTGTGTGCGTGTGTGTGGTGATATCCTGGCAAGTGTTTTTCCTGAATCCTACCAGTGCAGCTTCTGTAGAGGACTATCATCATCATATGACCTCTTGTATTTTTCCAGCTGTATCTGAACTAACATGTAAGGATTTGACTCTTGTTTTTTCTTCTTTTTTTTCCTCTCTCTCTTTTGTGGCTCAGTGTTTGTTATACATCTGGTGGTCAGTGATGAGAGAAACGCATCCCTGAGACACAGCATGGCCTTTCCTGCTCCATTTACAAACTGCTTTGATGTCTGTTATTTGTTAAACATTGGACTTGGAAAAATCCTTAGAACAATGTCCTTTTTGTTAAGAAATGCAGATGCAGCAGGGACACATTCAGTCTGTAGAAACTGGCTGAGAATTAGATTGTGCTTATAAGTCTGTTTGATATTAAAATTAAGACAATTAACTGGCGTGAACTTACTATAGTAATTAAGGCTGTCCTGTCACTGGATAAGGTAATTAGGAAGCTTTATTCTGGCAGCGTATGGAGTGAGATGTAAAGATTGTGCTGCTCATAATAGAGCTATGCAGTTGTGGAGGAATCAATTCCCTCTCTTTCGTAAACTTCAGTGTCAGCAGAATCTTAAGAATTCATGAAACGTTCGGTTGGTATGCTACTGATATTACACACATACACATCCCTTGGCTCCTTGTATGCATTGTTTTTTGGCATTCTGCACATGGTGTTGAATGAATGTGCAACCTTACTCGATCAAACACTGTGTGTGAGAGTCTGACAGGGAATGGATGCTCTTTAAAGGTATACTTATATAATTTCTGCTGCTGGCAGTTTCTCACAAATCGCTTGTTTTATTTCCCCAACATAATAAAAATAGTGATTTGATCATTTGAAAGGATTCAAGATTGGACATGATGGAATAGAATTCTGTGAAAACTACCCAAAATTATCTGCTCAAATCAGCTTTCCTTTTAATAAAACTGTTGAGCCAGTTTAGTTTCCTAAACTTGTGAAATTGTTGAATATCTGTTGCAATTTTCTTTTTTTATGATTGCACTAAAACAGATCAGGCACATTATGATGATCATTAATGCAAATGCTTTTCTTTCTTTCTTTTTTTTTTACATACTACAGACTCTCCTGTCTGGTATAGAAAAGTGTTCAGGAGTAACTGTTTGCTCCTGACAGTTGATTTTAGAGCAGAAATCTATGAAAGTCTCTCGATTTGGGGATGTTTAAATGGATCATGTCTAGAGACTCCTACGCACACAGCAATAAACTACCCTTCAAGCCTCATTAACATTTTGTTAAACCTGGATTGCATGAATCATCTAGAGCTTCTTTATTATCCTTCGGAAAGTTTAAGTGTTTAAACTGTCTCAGATGCCTTGTTGTTTATGGACAAGTGGTGTTATTAAAATATGAAAGTTGCCATTCGCACATTAAAAAAGACTTTGAGGCCTCTTCCTTTGAGTGTGAGGAAAAAACGAGTGAGAGAGTTGGTGATGCTGCTTTAGCTTGGATAATTTGATGTCCTGCTTGCCAGAATGGTTGCCATGGTTAATGTTACAAATGTAATGTAGCAAAGTCCAGCACTGTTAAAGTTTAAAGCAACTATAGTAAAAATGACCTTTTGAGCCTAACATTAACAGGTGCTAGCATGCTATAACAGTAGAGGGATGTCAATGTTAGCCTTCAGCTCAGAGGAATATTGTTTCTAAGCCTCATAGAGCAGCTTGTATGGTTATAAAAATATGTGGCATCATATTTTAACTTAACTTTTTTTCTTTTTAATTGAAGAGTGTGTGTCAAAGCAGGAACCTGTTTTCTTCATGCAAAAGAGAAATCTTGATGGTTTGTACTTGTGCTTAATTGCTTGTCGGCTAATGACTTCAATCTGAGTCACTTGTCTCCCATTTCAAGTACATCATACACACTGTAAGATGAGCAGCCATTTATCTGATGACTTACTACCTTCCTGGATTACTTTGGGTTGAAAAGAATTTGATTTTATGGTTAGTAATAATTTACTGTAATGAATAATCACAGGTTCTTTAGAAGAAATAGTCTAAAACTAAGTGGTTGACAGTATATAAGCAAATTTGAAGACTAAACCATGCAAAAACAATTCTTAAACATCACCTACATTTGCACAAAAACACAATTGTAAAGATCAAGTTATTTTGATTACCTAACACTCTTATTGTATTGAAATAAATGTATGCACTCCTGATGACACATTTGTTTCAGAAGCAGAGTAAACAAGCTCAATTTGTCAAATGGTTAACAAGGCAGATGAAAGGGATTTACAGTGCTGAATTCAGGCTTGCCTACGGGCACGATGAAAGGTTAGAACTGTGTTGCAGACTTTGACTCAGACCTGCATTCACACATCAGTGCTAAGGTAAGACCGGTAAGATTTTTCTCAATTAACTCTTGAAAACCCAGTTAGATCCTAATAAGAGCTTTATTTGACCAAGCGGTTCTGAGGACTACCTGGTGGTAAATACCCACTGGGGAAATTCCCTGGAAACAACAAACCTTTTTAATGTTTGTTTTTGCGTTGCTGAGAGAAATTGGATGTTATAGCTGGCCAGCAGTTGGTGATGCAGCATAACCTCTTCTTTTATTTCCTCGTTATCCAGTTTCACCCTCTGTTTTCTTTCTATGTTGCTTCCCTGTGTGGTGGATGACTATAGGGGAGTTACGTGGAATTGGTAGTGAAGATTTAGAATATTTCATACTGGGTCAAAGTTGCCCTTCATTTCATTTATTGTATACACACTCCACAAACCTTGGACATTAAATTTGTTGTGTTTTTCTTCCATTTTTAAGGACTGTGTTAAGAGCTTTTGTTAACATGGGTAATATATTGGCAGTGGCTGCTGGAGCTGCATCAGTGTGTTCAACCAGTCACCCTACAATTAAATCTGTACCAATTACACTACGCCTATGTCAGTAAGAACTCATATTTTGTACCTTCTCTGTAGTAAGAGCTAAAAGAGGACAATAAAAACTGAGTCCTAACACTACAGTGGTCTCTAATTCCTGCATTTTGGACATGGGACACAAGAGAATAGTTCATCCAAAAGTCAGAACTATAAAAAGTTCTCCCGTACAGAAGTGCATAAACTCTGACCTGCGTGTGCTTGGTCCACAAAAGGCTGTAAAGGTCATCGTTATCAGTGGTATATAATTTTTTACCCATCTCTTATATATGGAGCAGTGTTTATGTTCATCCTCTGAAGATGTCTGTACATACATGTTGCAGGTCTGCTGCTAAGGGCGGTGGGTAGATTCTTGGCATCTTTACTTTGTATGTCGAAGTATCCTAGAGCAAGATGCTGAACTCCAATTACTCCTGATGCATACGAACAATGAGTGTGTCTGAATGTTAGGCGTAGAAAAAACAGTCCTTGTTTGTCCATTTCTTTTTGTAGCATGTCCTTATTTAGGCAAGAAGCATGGTGCACCAGCCTTTAGCCACTCTATCACCAGTCTGTTGCAGGGGAAGACCGCATGAATGCACGTGTCTTCACAATTTTGACGTTAAACAAGCCCAACACAACAGTTTGTTTCAGGGTGACTTACAGCACCACATATCAACCAGTTACCTCAAGATACTTAAAAGTAGAGATGGTGTCTGTCTCCCAAATCCAAACTGAAGCTGGTTCCACAGAAGAGAGGCCTGGAATCTGAAGGCTCTACCACCCATTCAACTTGTAAATATTGAGTATCTAAGGCCACGGGTATCCTTAAGGTGAAGAAAAGCGGGAGCATAAACATCATTTTCTCCTCTTGGGTTTTCCACTTTTGTGAACTATGGGGAAAACAACGAAACAGGGATTGGTTTGGTCAATAATATTTAGTAATTTCAAGGACCATTTCACTTTCATAGTCTTTGGTCGAGAGCCATGTTTCTCAAACATTATGTTAGTAGTAGTAGTAGAGACAAGCGTTGCTGTCTTTACCACTACTGCCAAAAAATACTCTGTGACAATGGGAATAGTTCAACAGTCAGTTTTAGTAAAGTGCGTGAAGTTTCCCTTTAAACCAGAGAGGGAGATGCTACAGTATATTTTTAAGGTGAAAAATATAATTTTGGTTATCCAGTTTTGCTTAACTGGTTTTTTCCTGACCAGTATTGCTGCTATTATGAAAACCTTATATGGTCAGAAGCTGTTATGTAGGAAAACGGTTTCATCTTCAAAAGATGTTCAAAGAATAAAGTTATATTAGAATTTCAGAGCAACACTCAGTATAGTTGTTACAGTTTGGATTTTGCTGAATATGTGACTTTTTTATGACTACAGCGAGTGTAAATTAAGGTAGACCGGCCGAATGTTATTTGAGTTAACTGACCAGAGCAATGACTTCTCTACTCACCAGATTAGCCCGACTTGCTTCTAACTTGCACGACTCACTCAAACCTGTGGAGAGTGGTATGAAAAAATTGATGTACATGTAGGCATAGTGACAAATGGCTCTTAGAGGAGCCCACAATATTAATGTGTTTTTGCATCACAGGCTGTAAAGTAGTTTAATTGCCCACAAGAAATGAAGCTCTTATCTAAGAGTTTTCATGTATGCTTTCTGTTCTTGTGCCCCCTCTTTCCACTGCAGTGCATTGTCTGCCAACCCTTGTATCTTTCTTTCTCACAGAGAGCTGTAGTCAGAGGGCAGAGCAGCCTTTTCATGCATGGCTCACTTTGCTTATGTAAGAGCACTACTTAAACCTGGTTACATCACATAACAGGCAGCACTGTGTCAGTGGGTCACTGTGCCATACAGCCACTGAACTACATACACCCTCCATGTCGGGCCCTTTTGCTGACATGTGTGAAAGTAGCATTGCTGTGTGCAGCAAGGCATCCTGTGCAGTTTGGAAGGGACTGTTTTAAGCTTATAAGCTTTTATGTATTAATTTATCTCTGCTGGTTATATTAGATAATCTCAACAGTCTGTTTAAACCAGGATGGCATTAATTAATCACGTACATGTAGTGAAAAATGACCATTTTGCTGCTCAATTGTTGCTGCACCTGTAGGGTGCCAGCAGGGGGTCCTCTGTTTTCCAAATATTCTTTATGTATCCTCGTTGCACTCTTCACCCCAGCTCACACCGCCACCCACCTCCACCTTTCAAGCTGAGCAGCCCTTATCGGTCTTTCTTTTTCTCATATTCTATTTAGCACAAACACACTCACAAGGGCTTGGAAGAGGGCAGGACCAGCCACTCCCACTGTTCTATAGTTCCATCATAAACACAGAGGGCGAGAGAGCCAGACAGCGAGAGGAAGAGAGAGAGCGAGAGCGAGGGAGGAGCATAGCTGCGCTGAGCCGAGCCCCTCTATGCCTCAGCACGCACAGTGGAGCACAGTGGAGCAGACGCCAACAGCCACACAAACACACTCCCCTCTCAGTTACATGCACAGTCACACACATACCGCACACACCACCACCTCCACCACCGCTGTTGCCGCCACCACTTCCACCACACACACACAGTGACGGCTGCCAGGCGCAGTGGGAAGCAAGCCGTCAGGGAGTGAGCTTGAGAAGAAAGAGAGGGGAAGAGAAGAGAGTTGGAGGGGGCACCTTGTGGATCAGAAGGGATTTTCCTCTGTGTGAGTGCACGTCTGGATAACGCCATCTGCTTCTTCCTCAGCTAGAGGAGTTTTCACCACGGCTTTTTCTTTTTGCTCATCCTCCACGCCGGGCTTCAGCAGTATCTACCTATCTATCCCCGGAGCTTAACAAAAGAGGGAGGGAGTGAGGGAAAAAAAAGGCAGTCACAGCTTCAGCTCTAGACCACCCTCTCTCCTCCTCCGCCTCCTCCTCCTCTTCCTCCTCCTCCTCTTTTCTCCCCAGCTCCACATCCATGTGTGAGTTCATCGCTGATTTCACTGTCTTTTAAGGATAGAGAAGAGGACAGCGTGTGTTCTCCAGGATACAGCAGAGCTCCCAGAGGGATCAGGGTCTCGTCTGGTACACAAGAGGGGGAGGAAGAACGAGACAGGGAAACGGATACACAGGAAGAGAGAGAGAGAGCTGGAGAGAGACAAGAGAAAGACACTGGAAAGCAAATTAAGGGGCATGTTCAGGGCAGCACAGAAAAAGAGTGAGTCTAATTTTTAGAGCGGAGTGTGCAGGGAACCGGCAACCGAAACCCAGCCGTTCATCCCTCCTCCTCCTTATCATCCTCTTCTTCTTCCCTCTGCTTCCCCCCTCAGTCAGGCTTTTCAATTCCCTCTATTGTTTCCCGTATTTCTGCTATCCTTTCATATCTTCCTTTCCTCACTCCACACCTCCTTCTCCTCAAACCTCTTTCTGCTGCCACTCCGGAATCTCTTTCCAGACCCACGCAAGGAATGGTTCTGTGAGATTCCCTTTGAGCTCTCAGACAAGTAGACGGACTAAAATCTCAAGCACTATCTGTTCTTCTATCCATTCCTCCTTCTGCGCGTGTATCACCTTCACCAGTGAGAGGAGAGCGTTCTCTCTTCATCCCCCACTCTTGGAAGCAGTCATTTAAAGAATTCAGGCCATCCCCTCGGAAGTGATCAGCCTCCAGGACCTTCAACTGGATTCCAGCTACATGGGAAAACGTTTGGAACAGCAGCCAATGTACCCCCACTACACCTACTACTACCCCCACTATCTCCAGACCAAGGTAAGATGGTCAGCAAGGTTTGACTTATTGCGTTTCTGTGTTGCAAATGTAGATCAGCGCTTCGTCTTAAAACTGTTGCAAAATTGCACTCTTCAACTCCCCTTTTAAAGTTTCGCCTTCCATATCTTGTATCTCTTTAAATCTTTCCTAACCAGTGTGAATCAGTCCAGAGTGTCGAAGTTGTTGCATCCCCCCCACCCCCCCCCCCCCCCCCCCCACACACACACACACACACCTTTGTTTCACGCCTAAGTCTGCTGCATCAGGATCCAAAGAGTGATTGTGGCATATGTCAGGTGTTCATTCTTGCCTGTGTTTTACAAAACCAGCAAACACTGAATGACGGTAAAACGAGCATCAGTGTATATATGCTGGGATTGTCTTGGAACAGAGCGTGCTAAATAGCACTCTGTCCCTTGTTCCCCCATCTGCCTTTAAGCTGGGAGATATTGATGTCACTCAACTGGATTTTTTTTCCTTTTCCAGCTGCGCTGAGTGCTTGACCCTCTCCTCCCTTCTCTGACCCCACCAGCTCCAAGTTCAAGTTCAGGGCAGGAGGCCCATCCTTCCCTCAATCCTTATATTCCCTCCTACTTTGTCCCCCAACCCCCACCACCCTGAGAACTCCACCCTGTACCCCTCCCTTCTCTGGCAGTCCCTAGTCCATGCAACTCACCCATTATGATATGTTGTAGAAATGATTGATGGAACCTGATTTACTTCTCGGATTACCTAGAATGCAGAAAAACAAGCTCAGTTTATTTATTTTTTCCCTCCGCTTTGTCAGTTTGATCCCAGTATTCTCGCGCTTGCATAGAATGCATACACAGAGCATCTTGATAAATTCATTTCACACATGCACGCACTGACATGTACTGGTTCTTCTACCACCGAGAAGGCAGAAAATGGGTTACGAAGGGCCTGATCGATAGCTCCTGCATCATATCACCCGCCATTCCCTCTGTCTGCTCTGATTCGTGTGTGTGTGTGTGTGTGTGTGTGTGTGTGTGTGTGTGTGCGCGCGCGAGGCGCGCGCAGCCTGTCTTTTTTTTTTTTTTTTCTTTTTTTGCGATGATAGTAAATATGAGGAGTTGGCAGGTTTGCTGCAATATTTAGTAAATATGTACATGTCAGTGGGCAATATCGATGGTGAGAGAGGCAATGAAAAAGTGTGGGAGTAGAATGCTATGAGAATAGAGAGATCATGTTACTGGTGGACAGAGTGTGGGAAGAACAGGTAAGAAAATTATTGCTCGGCTGTTAAAAATATGTTGAACTGTGAGCCAAGCAAAAACTGCACGGTGCGATTGCAGGCCAACAGCAACACGTTTATGTGGAGTTCCAGACGCTGTTGGTCGAATTACCCTCCCAATTACCGCTTTCCTGCGCTCATTCTCAGTAAGCATCTAGAGAAGTCTTGATGCAGGTTATAGAGGATTTACCTTAAAATACCCAAATGACTCTCTTACTAACAAAATAAAAAGCAAAAGTGCAAGTGTCCATTTGAGCACAAAATATTGACCACAAAGAATAGAGACTTTAAAAATTTTCTAGTGTTTCTCTTGCGTCTCAAAGATCACAAGTGCGTGTTGGTCTGCTTTCATTTTGTAAATTGAAATGGTTCCACATGGAAGACTTTTTTCACTGCTCGTTAACTTTTATATTGCATGCCTCACTGCAACAAGTTGTGGACAATTACTATACAGATCAAAGCTGGTGGAGTCCACTAAACAATTCAACTTTTTGAGGCTCTGTATAACTTATACTGATCAACCAAAACATGTCTTAACTAGCCAAAGTATCAACTTTGAAGTATCTGGTTGATCAGTATACTAATGCAGGGATGGGTAGATTTTGTTCATGTTCACATGTTGGGCACATGAACTCTAAGAAAAGGGTCATCTCACAATGACTAAAAGGTATTGTAGTCCAAGGCTTCAATACTTCCAGTTTAGCAGCTATTTGGCTTCACCATATGAAGTCTAAGATTTTTTTCCTATTTAATTGAGGGATGCGTTTACAGATGACACATGCAGATTGTATTTGCAGCGTGTCGACATTACCCACTTATCTGCTGATCTCAGTGCTGCACACATTCACATCTGGGATCTGTCTGATGTTTTTAAGAGCGTGCTCAAGACGAACAAACAGAAGCTGAGAACTGTTTGTTAATGCACATCTGTGATTTGCTTGTAATAAACGTCTTCAATGATAAGCGCGCCTTTCTGTTTGCTAATTTGCACCAGAAAATTCACGTCTGCTAGTAGAGAATATGAAACATGTTGTTTTTAATTTTCCTTTCAATGAAAGAAACTTAAAGGCTATAGATGGTAATTGTCTCTTGGCACTCTTGTTTTGTTTTTTTTTCTTAAACCGGATGAATTCAAATGGGGGGAACAAATTATTGAATTTATCGTCTTAACAAACCTTTTTTTTTTTTTTTGTCAGAATGAGTTTTTGACAGTGTTCATTTTGTGTTTAAATACTGTGCATTTACGCTTGCTGTTATGATTGAAGAAAATTCACGTTGAGCTTAAAAGATTACTTTTTAAATTCTGTGCCGATATCTAGCATATCTGTAAATCTGGAGCCATCAAAATAAAACTGACTGTGATTTGTTGCTTTATTCCACCGTACTATGCTGCATGAACACGTAGGTTAGATTAACTTCAACACTTGATGCATGCCCGTTTTACGTGTACAGATGTCACTGTGTCACACTGCTGTGGCTTGTTCTATTATTTATCTCAGTCAGTTCAAGGTCATCTCATTTCTCACAAGTATTTGCAACAGGCATCTGACTGAAACCATCACTTCATTCCTCACACTCCATCCCTCTCTTCCACCAGACCTCTCTCTGCTCTCAAGGTCATATCAAATTGGATCCTTCCTACCCCAGAGTACACTCACACTGCAAGCACAGCTGAAAGGGTGTGTGTTCACGTATGCATTCATAGACAAATAAAACCAGTATCCGTGACTGTACATGAGCCTGCAACTTTGTCAATTCATGTATGAGCGTGAACTGAATTTATTTGCTCACTTTTGTGTGGATAAGTGTGGGCGTGTTATCCTGTGTGAGGTAAAGTGACTCTGTGTGTGTGTGTGTGCGCGCGCGCGTGTGTGGCCTCTGAACAATGAGTCCCCCCCGTGCCTGACCCCTTTTCAGTGCAGCTTGCTGCCATTAAAGCCCCCCATGTCCCAGAAGAACAGTCCCCTTAGAGTGTGCGTGCGCCCGCACGTCTAACTCTCCATAGAAGTTCAGGCTTAGTTATACGTCTATATGGACCTTGACAACAGCCTTGTGTTGGATCGGCTCTTCTACTCTGACTTATATCGGGCAGGGGTAGAGGATTGTTGGGTGGAAATGTAGCCGTGCAGGTATTTTTCTGGCTTCTTTCCTTTGTGTGCAGAGAGACTAAACTGGTAGTATGTATTGTGTGCTCTCTTCGTTACTTTCTCCTAATTTACAGATATCTTTTCCATTTCTTCCCCTCTTTTTTTTTTTTTTTTCCTCCTCCTACTTTTGCTAACTGATCTGATGGGCCTCTTATTAATCTTGATTCCGGCAAGAGGAGCTTCTCCCTTTCTGAAAATCACTTGCGTGTGTGTGTGTACACATGAAGTTTGCCTTCGCTGCCCTGCAGTACTAGTCTTTAAACCTGCACACTTCCTCACTGTCATTAACACACATGCACCACCTTCACATAGAGGCAGTTATGAAATGGCTGGCTTAAACTAACAACGGGGCAGATGACGGAGTGCGTGTAAATGCGCGGCTGTTAAACGGAAATTTACTCTTGCTCTGCTTCCATAATGGGCTATAGGTACAGTTGGTGTACATTAGCAGGGTGTGGGGAGTGATAGCATGGCCTCTTATGTGAGCCCAGTGGCCCTTAATCATGGCTGTAAGAGGGTGTGAGGGGATCAGGGTGAGGGTTAATGCACAAGTGCAGCTGCACTGTTAGATTCTATGTGATTTGTTAAAATTTAACGTGTGTGTGTGTGTGTGTGTGTGTGTGTGTTGTTGCTGGAGGGACTAAAGCTCAAATCTGCCATTCTTGAATATGAGCAATGTTTCGGATTTTTCTGATTGCGCTTGTGAGCTGGTTTCATTTTCTTTATTTTCTATGCTTGTTGTATTGCTTAATAGTTACAATTATTTAATGAAAGGATTTTTTTTTTTTTTAAAGAAATGAAGACTTCAAAAATCCCTAACAAAATGTGCAAAGTATTTTAGCTTGTTATTATTGCTGTAATTTCCTGAGTGTTTTCCTGAGGTTCTGGTGGTGTCACTGCAAATTTAGCAAAAACAACAAACTGACATCTCTCCTGTTTGAGAAGAGGAAACATGGCATTCATGACACACGACTTTTAGTTTTGACAAGGTAGATTTTCTTAACTTCGTGTTACATACCTTTAATCTGTTACAGTGTAACAATATTAAATTAGCTCCATAACCTGATGGAGAAAGGCAAGGATTTCTTAAATCAATCAAGATGAAGTGCAGGCTTTCAGCTTTAATTCAAATAGTTTACATCAACCTTTGAGGAATTACACCCATTTTTACACACAGGCCCCAATTTTAGAGGCTCAAAAGAAACTCAACAAACTAATATAATTTTAAAAGTAAGATTCTTTCTAATACTTGGATGAAAATCCTTTCCAGACAATGACTGCCTGAAGTCTAGAACCCACAGACATCACCAAATTGTCTGTTTCCTCCCTTAATATGCTGCAAGGCCTTTTAATGCATCCACCTGCAGTTGCTGCTTGTCTTTTTCCCTTCAGTTTTGGATTTAATACTAGAAAAGCATGCCCTGTTGGGTTGAGATCAGGCGACTGACTTGGCCATTGAACAATATCCCATTTCCTTTACCTTGAGAAACTCTTGGGTTGCTTTTGCAGAATGCTTTGGGTCATTATTTGTACTGCTCGATCTGGCTCAGGAGGTAGAGAAGGTTGTCTATTATTCGGGAGGTTGGTGGTTTAATGTCTGG